ATTATTTACGGATTTATGGGTGTTTGAGTTGAAAATGAAGTTAGGTTTTCCGTATTAACAAAAAAGTTATTGATATAAAAATCTGAAAAAATTCCGTCCACAAATTACTGATATTATCTACCTATATTTCAAATTTGAATAAAATCCGTTCGTTATTGACGGCTTTATGAGTGTTTGAGTTGAAAATGAAGTTAGGTTTTGCATTTGAGTTCGCAGGCGGGTTCGCAGGGGAGTTCGCTGGAGTGTCGATTTGGTAAATTTAAAAAAGTTCGAAATACAACCATTTGAATCAGATGCCATCGTTCTCCAGCCACCAAAATTATACCGACAAAAATTCCATTAAAGATTCCATTCAAACTTCAAGTATTAAACTAATAAGCAACTGCGACAAAAGTTTAAGGTGAATTATGAGGTAAATTTGGCTTGGTTTCATACATAGCTACTAAGCTACATATTGTAATTATTTACGTAAAACCCTTGAAACACTTCCTTGTTGTTTCGAAACGGGTGCTTACAATAAATAAGTCATTTATCTTCACAATTTAACCATTCGGCACTCCCATATATGGTACTCAAAGAGAAGTTAGATTTTCAATATTCTAAAGTAAGCGGTCACGTATATGGCTAAGCTGATGAATAGGATTGCTCTAGACTCTTGAATATGGCTATTTGATAAACATTTTATAATTATATTTGTTTAGATATCCTGTCTTTTAGTTATTTGCATAGTCGAATAAATCATTATTGAACTATATAAGGTTGACCCGCGAGAAGTTCCGCTTCTCAGTTCAGCTTTCTTGCTGTGTCAATGAGATCGAGAGACGTAAAAAAACGTCATTCTCTTGACAGATTGGTTGACAACAAAAATATGGCAACAAATTAGCCACAAAGAACTACCTAGCGTCTCAGATGTATATTTAAAACTTTTAACTTACGCTGGCTTAGCACATATCGGTGATTGGTTAATGCCCGTGACGTCACTGAGATCAGTGACGTCACATGTGAACAAAATGCTCCATCCGCGAATATGAGTTTCTCATGGGTCAACCTTATACTAGTTCAACCATGGGAATAAATAATTACAAAAATCCTTAACCAGACGCTGCAACATCTGGTTCAAACTTGCGGATTTTACCGCAATCGCCGCGGCACTCTTTCGATTAGTTATTCGCCACCATTTCCTGGGAATGGGATGTCGGCGCCGTGTATTTTATAGCCTCAGCACTGAATTGCTAGACATTATATAACAGTAGCACTTAATGATAACTAACCTTTTAATGTTCGCTATTCTTACGTCATAAATAAGGAATGAGTAAATACCGAGGCTATTTATTTTTTAAATACATGCAGATCGTTTACTGTATAGTAGATATAAAATATCCTTAATCGAACAAAATGCAGAAATCATAGCCCCGAGGATATTTGTCTGCATGCACTAACCTTTCGGTCCCATTCTGCCTGCCTTCATTTACTTCCACTGAGTTTCCTGCTGACCTGATTCATCAAGTACCTGCAGACCACTGACATGCTTAACAACATCGCATCATGACGGCGCTGAATGAAGACGCTAATACATTAGTCGATGACGTGCCTCATCTTAACCAAGAATAATATTCTGCACCATCAAGCCGCAAGGATCTATTAACAGCCTCGAATTCTGTCGTATTGTAATCGTGGTAGTGGTGTACGCGTTGAGCCTAGCCTGTCGTCGAATCTAGACATCGCGGTATACTTACAGCTTACTGGGGTTTCGACCCCGCAACTCATTGCTCCCATCATGCTGCTCTCGACCTCCCTGGTCACCTTGCCGGTTTTGATTAGAACTGTAATCCGGCCCCTAAGATCGAACCCAAACTCACTGCTTCAATTCTGGTACTGTGAACCATTGTATACTTCCCTGTTCGCTGGATATGGCATCGAATTAGCCACACAGAACTACCTAGCGTCTCAGATGTATACTTAAGACTTTTAACTTGCGCTGGCTTAGTACATAACAGGCTAGACACACGTGCCCGACCGTGTGTCTCCGATCGTAGGGTAAAGCTCCATGCACGGGTTTGTAAACTCACGTGTAACGTGCTAAACTCAGCTTGTAGAATAATTAGATGCAATCTAGTTTACAAATACAATTCGTCTCTTGAACAGCTCCCTTCCCTCTGCCATTCTAGACTCATCTCTGTCGCAGATCAGCTGCTTTCAAATCTGAACAAGCTCGCAAATGAGCGAAACGCGTCACCTGACTTTTGTATATTGTCAATGCTGTGGAGAAATTGAAAAAATATAACTCAGTACTCACTGCACTGAGTGACAGAGAGCGCATTTTCTCGTCGACAAAAACTTGAGGTCACGGACAGACGGACGGACAGACGGATAGAAAGACAGACGGACATGGCGAGCACAATAGTGCATTTTTTCCATAAATGAGAAAATGCGCTAAAAAGTTTATACGAATGTCGCAAGGGTAGTTGAAAACTAGGAATAACTGAATTAAAAAGGAAGTTTCCAACTAAATAGTTGATTTTTCTGTGAAACTCAACTAAATGGTGTGCCCTCACCTAAATACTCAATCCTCTTCTACTGACTCGTCATCGTTTAAACAATAGTGCATTTTTTCCATAAATGAGAAAATGCGCTAAAAAGTCTGATCATTGGTTAGAATTCCCATGTCAATTTCTGTGCACGAAGAAGAGAAGATATAGAATCGGAAATTTATAGTTTTAAGTTGAACTAGGGTCGTTTTGGTAGAGAAAGAAGTTAGGTTCATCACGTCAACTGGTTTGTAAATAATAACAAGGCTTTCTGCAACCAAACTCTGTACATCCATCGATCGTTTCACACGTAAAGAAAGTTTCAGCAGTTCTTCAGTGTGGAAACAATGACATTTAAATGTTTGAATATTCATAGAATGTATGATGCAACTAACTCTACTGTGATGTTTCATTTGACTGCTAGGAACTCTTTCAGCCGTGCTTTAACCAATAGAAGCAAAATCCCTTCACTGTGGTGAAATGTTATTCATTTTCTAACTTGTACCTTTAAAAAAAAGACGGTAACCAATGCATTTACTCCAAAAATAGGCCTAGATATAGCTACGAATACATCTGAATAAATTTAACAACTTTGCAAGGAAGTAAATACACGTGAATAATTGTATATTTTATGTTATTCCAATTAGATACGAATCGCTGGACCTCAATGAAAACTAGCTTGCGAAACTTTCTCAACTACCCGTCGAGAAAAGTGTCGTGCTTCTCGGACGATAATCATCCAGTATGAACTATTCGGGGCTGGCGCCTTCTATTTAGCCGTTGTAAATGTTTACCCCTGTCACTTCAAGATGAGGATGGAGCTATGATTTATTCCTTTAGAATAAATCATAACTCCATTCACTCCATTATTGATAGAATGCGCTTTGCCATGCACTTCGAACACCTCGCTTTTCATAATTAGTGCATTTCATAGCTGCATAAAAGATCGGCTCTAGTGAGAAAAGAGTATTCAAATACCCCAATATAGAAGAAACCATTCACTACTATCATTCGAATTGTCTCATGAGCATTTTGCAAGATTTCTTGCAATTGGTTGCTGGAATTCCCACGGAAAAGAGAGTTACCATGAATTCGTTACAACCTCTAATAGACTATCATTGATCTAGGATTGTCTCAATTGCTGGCCATAGCTTTTCAATGACAAATTTGCACAATTAGATTATTACCATGCAGTCCAACTGCGAGGTTTCCATTCATTCTATTCGTCATAACACAGCAGCAGGTTCTTCTTCTTCTGTCCGCTTTCTGAGGACTTGGTTCTTCACCACTCGCCTCACGTCCTGACGGGCAGCAAGGGTTTGGCCGGACAAATCAGCAGCAGGTTGTTCTGGATTTGTCAATGGGAATTTTACCACTTGACGTCATGGCATTAATTCTCGTTTATCAACGCGTCCCGTACGTGCATCTGGATGACTTGTATTACTTTTTATTACAACACTTCTCTTTAACTTCACTTCTTGTTGTTTGTTTGTTTGTTTGTCTGTCTGCTACAAATCTTATAATCGATATGTAAAACACTTCTACCTCTCAAATCGATCTGAAATTTTGCATACTTACGTAAAGTTGGAGACAATGCATGAATCAATTGACAGAATAATCAATTTTGAAAACTTTAACTTTTAACTTTAACTTTTTTACCTTTTTTAAACTTTTTTATTTTTAATATTAAAAAAAATTGAGAAAAAAAATTTTTGTTCCCTACAAATCTTATACTCGATATTTAGAACACTTCTACCTGTCCAATCAATCTGAAATTTTGCACACATGTGAAAAGTTGGAGACAATTCATGAATCAAGTGACAAAATAAATAATTTCGAAAAATTTAATTTTTTCTTAACTTTAAAAATAAAGTTGATAAATTAATTTTTTATATATGATAGTAAAATTAGAAATCCATTGTTCATTTGTAACATCGGAGACACTGCATTCTTTGGAAGTGTTGTCTCTAAAAAGTAATTTTTAAACGCATATTATTTGATGAAAGGAGGCTTGAAATTACATTGAAGGCTTCGGGAAAAACAGTAGACTATTAGCCTAAAGCCAAACTGCTTTCAGACGGGATACTAATTCATCATGGGAGCGCAGCCGTGCACCACCAATTTTGTGCACCAATAAGCCCTGAATCGAACGCCTTGGATCTCTCCGTATATCCACCAATCACCCGTGCACCACTAGGCTTTGTCCTCCTCCGGCCTTGACCACCACCAGCCGTGCACCACCAGGCCGCGGATCGAATCTGACATCCGAGCATCGTTAAATTACGTAATTTTACGTTCACCGCATCTGAGGTTAGGTTTCAGATAGCATAGTTCTGTTCCAAAATTTATCGTCCTTCGACAAGTGGCCGTTCGACCGAGGGCTGGTTCGATCCACGGCCTAGATACGGACGGCTTGAAGTGTTGAAGGCTACGTTCCGGAAGGCAGGAATCATGATGGTCCATTACATCCAGGGGCAGTGGTGGTCTTAGGCAGGCGACCCAATTCATCATTGGTCAGCTACGGGTGGAGGTCCACCTGAAATTATTCGCTTTCTTTGATAGCTTCTCAACATAACGGGTGATGCAGATTTTTCTCCCGTGGTGTTCTTGGTCAATTTTTGCTTCTCAAATAACATAGAGGACCTTTTGGGTCGTCGATTGACGGGTGCCTTTAGCCAACTGAAAATGCCTGTTTTTCGCTTCTCAATCATCTTTTTTGAAAGCGAATCTGCATTTGAAGCAGGTTCCTCGCAAACCTTTGCTGCGTTCTTTTCTAGTTTCCGTCTCGACTTGTTTCGCATTGCATTTTTATTTTTCAGTGGCCAAAAAGGATGTGGTTTTGCACTGGCATGCTTCTGCAGCAGGTAAAGTGTTGCTATACCGTCATCCTCTTGTCCCTCGAAGTAAACAACCTTTTGGGCTAACGAACAATGGCGATGAGAACATTTGATTTCTAAATAATATTTCGGCTGAATAAATCTAGCTCTGGGTCGCAGTATCCTGGCAGAATCGCTGCTCTTCAGAAAACATTTTGGTTCAAGGTTCTTTAATGTATTAAGCAACCTTTCGTGCTGTGAAGTTCCCCTAGTGAAGATGCCATTGATCTTATCGCCCTGTCTCATTTTGAACTTCAAAGTGTGTATTATTCTGTAGTTCGACGACCAGTACAGGTTAAGAAAGTAATTGAGTTCCTCGTTCTTCTTACGCTGGAGTAGAACCTCTTCGTCTTCTACCTGATTATTATCAGAAACTTCTGCATCGAATACTGCCGGACTTTCTACATGATAATGATTCGAGTGTTCTGTATTTTCTCTAAATTGTTGGTTCCTAATTCCTTTGCGATTTCTTGTAAAGTGCTCATCGCCCCCGAGGTCAACTTTTTGTCCGACAATGGATTTATTTTCGGATCCATTAAAACAGACTGCTTTCTTTTGGTCCACTAGGACTTCATTGTTGCTGAAATTGCCGCTATTGACGTCAACGTCATGGCTGTCACCATAGTCTTCGGAATCATCACTGCTACTATCTAAATCATCAAATTTTACGTAAGATCTATAACATGTAACATCGTCTTGTTCGTGGGGTTCGGTTGATCCAAAATTTATGTCGGCTTCACAGTTGCCTCTGTCGTTCCCTAATTTTTTACTTTGATCGCTGATGCCTTCCAAAATGCTGTGGAAACCACAGACTACACTGCTGTTGTAACTTTCATTTCCCTTTTGGGTGTCGTTCTCTTCACTGCTACCTCCTGTGTCGTAACAGCTGCCATGATGGGATCTGTCATCTTCGCCATCAATCAAGCCGACTGAAAAACTGGAACCTACCACATTCATTGTGAATGCTTCTTCTTCACTTTCTTTTCTGCTGGCGACGTGATTTTCGGCTCCGCTGCTACGATCTACAAGGTGGGAGTCGCTGCAATCAACTCCACGCTTAGCTCCATCATGACTGCATGCAGGTACATGCGATTCATCCACTGACCGAGGTGTTACTTCTGAATCTGGTGCGTCATCCTGAGTAGAAATATGAAGTTTTTAATTAGCATCGGCTAGCAACTTACCCTAAATATTATGCATAATCATTGTTATCAATCAATGTGTTAATATTTAGATATCAACCAGAAAATATGCAAATTTTATGGAGATTTACCTACGGCATATACTCGTACCTATTCTGAGCATGAAAACAAAACTCCTAACAGGCAGCCTGCTCATGGGTTTTTTAAGTGGAGCGTCTGGGTCCAAAATCAATAATTTTGACTTTTCCGGTTTTTAGTTTCATCTTGAAGCTGACATTCTGACCTATCCAACGGTACCAAAATCATCTATGTACGTTAATTTATGCGTTCACGACAGATCACGAAAGGGCAAGGGTTGGTGGAGTTCTTTAACATTTAACATAGGGATTAAATGCCTCAGTGCACCTTAAATAGCTAGTCTTCACACTCTCCGATCCATTAACCCTTCAACAGTCGTGAGGGAAGGTTGGCGCTCTGTCGTTTCCACCATCCTTGACAGAGATTTAGCTCCAGTATTGTCTGGTCTTGCATCCTTGCAACCTTGAATGCCGATTTCGAGGCGCCAGGAACTTTGTCGGGCTCTACTGAAAAATCACACTTATTCTCACTGGAAAACTATCTCCTCCTACAGTTTTGAAGCTACAACAATGAGAGATATACCATTCGATTTGCAAATGAAAGATCTAGAGATTGGTTGTAGCTTTTTTTTCAATTTCGTTATAGTTCAAAAGTATTTCGAAAAAAGAGGGGGAAAAAAGGTTGAAATTGAAAATTTTTCGAAAATTTTACGAAAAATGCTTCCACACCCGCAAAAATTCGAATTTCAAAAAAAACTACGATGAATCGATAGATATGGTCCCTACGCATCGAATGGTATGCTTTTCGATGTTGTAGCTTGAAAATCCTAGGAGGAGATAGTTTTCTATAGTACCCCTTTTTTGTCCGTTTTCTAAGAATTTCACGTTTTCTTTCATTTTTTTCGAAAAATTTCCACGAACAAAAAAGTCTTAAAATTATGTTTTACATATGTGTACCAAGTTTCAAAGTGATCCGTCCGTAAATAAAAAAGTTTTTCTGGGACCCAGACACTTCCCTTAAATTAAATCCAGATAAATTAATTATATAGTGACGTAGACTCCCAGTCAGAAAAGTGATTTTCTGGCGACGTGATTAAGAATGATCATCAGTCCGATACTCATATTGATAATTAGGATTAGTGCATTAGAAGAAGTTGGTTATAATCATACAGAAGGTTGGTATTATCTTTAACATCTGTCTCAGTAGTCTTGATCATATTAACTCATTACAATAAATTTACTGAATAATTTTAACTGTCTCACCGAACAACATGAAGGAATCACTTGCTAGTACAACTAATTGGGAAGCAAACTTAGAGGCCGCGTAAATTTGTGCAGAATTACAGAAAGTTTTTGAATTTTGGACATTAGTGCCGACACTAATTAAGTCTCCTATCCGTGCCGTTTAAATTCGTGGGGGTATTGCAGTGACATCTGAAAGTGGCAAAATATAGAAATGATGTGGACTTGCTCTTCATATAAATATAACGTAGACAGATTAAATCAGTGCATTGGAAGTTTTAATGAACTCGTTAATTATCTAAAGCTATGTACTTTTTATAATTTTAACGCAATCGAATATTGATGAGGACCTGATATTAATTCATGAAATACTAAAAGGCCTAAACACCACGAAATGAACTCTGTGCCTGGTAATGCCTGGCAATCCTTAATGGTTTCGGACAAGGACTCAGATCTACAGGATTCTCTGATCCTGGTATTGAGGTCGTTTACAAAAGAAGTCATTGATGTCAAAAGGAGAGTGATCAATTACTAAGTGATCAATGTATATTTATGAATGCATGTTTTTTGAAAAAAGAATATTTAAGGGGAGCGTCTGGGGTAAAATTTTGAATTTTGGCTTTTCCGGTTTTTAGTCTCATCTTAAAGCTGACATTCTGCTCTATCCAACGGTACCAAAATCATCTCTGTACGTTGATTTATGCGTTCACGATAGCTTGCGAAAGGGGGGGAGGTCGGGGGAGTTCTTTCACATTTTAGGTGGGCGATAATTCCCGGTAGCATGCATAAATAGCTAGTCCACATACGATGTGCTTCAGTAACCCGCCTGCAGTTGTACGGGAGAGGTTGCGTGTCGTCGCTCCCACCATCCTTGACTGGAATCAAGCTGCAGTAACATTTAGTTTTGTATCCTTGCTACATTGAGTGTCTATTCCGATGCGCGCGGGACTTTGTCGCTCTCTCCTGAACATTCACACTTATAGTCACTGCAAACCTATCTCCTCCTAGAGTTTCAAAGCTACATCAATGAGACATATACCATTCGATTACAAAATGAAAGATCTACAAACTTCACTTTGTCGTTTTTCCAATTTCGTTATAGTTCGGATTTTATTTTGCAAAAAGTGGGGGAGGGCGGGGGTAAAATCGAAAAATTTCGAAAAATATCGGAAAAAATGCTCCCACACCCACAAAAATGAGAAATCCAAAAAACCGCTAAGTGNGCATTAGATGACCTGATTTAATGGACCCCCATGATCAATCCTGACTTCCACCATGACTCCATGAGCACTTACGGGATTTGTCCATGGATTAGGTCTTTCTTGAGCCGAATGTGAAAACAAACGAAAATGCTGCTGTTTGAATTCTTTCATTTAATTTACTGTTAATAGACATAAAAATGAAACAGTGCTATAAACTGCAGAGCTTTAAGCTGGGAGATTCTAGTAAGGAATATGACTTTATACATTCAAAGCTTAACTTAGTTCATTGAAATGACGAATGTAGTAAGCTTGTGCCGTGGTGGATTTACATGCCAGTGATTCGCTTGGTTCAGACTTTTTTCGTTTGCAATAAAATTTAGACGTCAAGGCAAGTAAAATTGTTTTGTAAGAAGGACAGCCGGGAACTAGTTTCATGGACTTTTTAACTCACGCTTACCGAGTTTGCTCTTCTTTAACGATGCCTATTCAAACTCATAAATATCACCAGTTTAGGAGTATATACTAGGTATACTTCAGTAGTAAAGACTAGGAGTATACTTGCAGAAAGATAGGATCAAAATGCTATCGCTTAACGACACAGTAGAACCTTTTAAAAGTTTCATGCAAAGCAACATGATCTTGAAATTGAGTTACTCTTCAAATATTTTTATACACTTGTATAGATTTATATTTCGGAAGAAAAGATGACTCGCGCATAAAATTCGGTCACCATTCATGTCGACTTGCTGTGGTAGTGCTGCTTCATAAAACGCGCTTATATATATGCAGCTTCACTTAATAATCTCTCTTCTCAATTGGTAAATAAACTTACATAGATTTAATTATATAAATTTAATTATATAAATTACCACTTTCGTTATAATAAACAAACTTATTCTGGTATTAAACACATCAAAGCCCAACCGTACTAAATAAAACCTATCCACATCTAAGTACACAGAAGTATGACCTAATCTAGGTCCTGAATTTTAATGCGGTTTTAGCAGTCCATGCAGGGAGGGCTGAATTACAGACCCAGAATGATGGATTGCATCCATGATTGTTGGGCAGCCTCCTTTTACGCATCGAATGATACGTGTCTCGATGTTGTAGCTTGAAAATCCTAGGAGGAGATAGATTTCTACAGTACCCCCTTTTTTGGCCGTTTTCTAATAATTTCACGTTTTCTTTCCTTTTTTTCGAAAAATTCACACGAAAAAAAATGTCTTAGAATTCTGTTTTACATATGTGTACCAAGTGTCAGAGTGATCCGTCTGTGAATAGCCGAGATAAATTTTACCCCAGACGCTCCCCTTAATCGCTCTCCAATGCTTAACTTCTGAATTTTAAAGGGGGTTCTTTTTTCTTCCAGAAACGAAAATTTAACTACCGCTGAAATTGTTATCAAAGTACTAGCAATGCTTTAGCTATATTATGCTGTTTAATCTCTTTAAGCAATTAGCAATGTCTTGAATGCTCCAGCATGTGATTGGAATTTCAAACTTTTAATGGCATAAAAAATGATTAAAACAGAAATATTTACAAATAAATGTTATTTGTACCAAATCTCTTTCACACGCTTCAACCAGATTCACACGCTAATTTAATTTCGCAGTTGTGTGAATTTGCAAATTAGTATTGAACATGCATTTTAATTCCATCCTTTTATTTGTTTGTAAAAATTACAAGCAATGCTGGCGATTTAGCATACTGCAATGCAAATAAGTCTAAATTATGTTGATAATGATCTGAAAGATATGAGTAAGACGAGTAATGGAAAATGTTGATGACTTATATGAGTAAGACGAGTAATGGAAAATGTTGACTTATATGAGTAAGACGAATAATGGAAAATGTTAATTACTTCATACATCGCCAGGGTTGATCAGCATTTAACTCACATGGCTTAGAATGCGCCGTATCTCATCTTGCAGTCCTTCCGAATCCAGCTTCAGCTGATGGAGTCTCTCACGAACTATTTGTATTTGTGTGTCAATTTCTTGCATTGTTATTTCATTGTAATTGTGATGTGAGAAAAAAATTATCTTAGGACCTCCGTACAGATAGATCGTCAGCTTCTTGTCTGAAAATATACTAAGTAAATTAGTCGTTGTATTTGATCGAGTAACTACACGTGATTAAAAGGATTAAATGGTCAATATAATTAATAGAACGTCATCGAATATGACAAATAAGACGTTAAAACTGATTTTCAACGATTGATTGCGGTATTGCAGAACTGATTTCTAAAATTTAATTTTAACCAGTCTCATCGAACTATCAAATTTCATTGACAAGAATATAACCGTTGTTTACGCTTGCCATGACACGTGCAGAATAAGTACGGTCGAATATTGACATGGAAATAATACTACTGTAAATCTATTACAGCGCAGTTACCTCGGAAGCACTCGAAGTAAACAGATACAAGCTTGCCTACGGCCTGTCTGAGGTACAGTCTAACTCCGACTGATGGCCGTCTCAGGACGCTGCGTAGACTGCCAATGTTTATTATAATGATGCATTAGATGACCTGATTTAATGGACCCCCATGATCAATCCTGACTTCCACCATGACTCCATGAGCACTTACGGGATTTGTCCATGGATTAGGTCTTTCTTGAGCCGAATGTAAAAACAAACGAAAATGCTGCTGTTTGAATTCTTTCATTTAATTTACTGTTCATAAGCCATAGAAGAAAAATAGACATAAAAATGAAACAGTGCTATAAACTGCAGAGCTTTAAGCTGGGAGATTCTAGTAAGGAATATGACTTTATACATTCAAAGTTTAAAAAGTTTAAAAAAAAGTTTATACATTCAAAGTTCATTGAAATGACGAATGTAGTTAGCTTGTGCCGTGGTGGATTTACATGCCAGTGATTTCCTTAGTTCAGACTTTTTTCGTTTGCAATAAAGTTAAGACGTCAAGGTAAGTAAATTTGTTTTGTACGATGGACAGCCGGGAACTAGTTTCATGGACTTTTTAACTCACGCTTACC